TTTTTTTTTTTCTCTACACCACCCCCCTCTAAAATCGCTGTTCTAGACAGATAGAAAAAGAATCCTATTTATGACACTTTCCAATTGCTCTTCCTCTTTTTGCTTTTTCACTTTGGCTTGTCTTCCTGGGATCAGGACCAGTTTGCTAAAAGTTGTTCATTTAATAAAACTAAATATTAGGATAATAAATATCAGCTAGAACATTGATCTTAATGGAGGATTGATTACCATTCCCTCAATCCCCAAAAATAAACTGCACTACTTTGGTAATTATAGCAGGCAGTGTCTTTGAAATATCATTTGGAGATTTCTTTTTCTTAAGTAAAGGTGATAGCTGGAGTGGTGTTGCATGAGGTGGACCATTTTGTTTAATGTTTGCTATTCCTTTCAGTTATTGGAAGGAATAACTGATGTGATCAGAGGGGCTCGAAATGTATTATCTGAAACATAGCTAATACTGTTTCAGAGAGTGTTTCAGATCCTATTAAATGTGAGGTAACGTAAGTGGGGGAGACATGTGGAATTTGGGGTAGAATTTGGGGATTCATAGGAAAGGAAAGGCTGAAATTTGGTTGACTGCTGTTATCAAATAAGCCTTCCATATTCACTTGCCTCTATTCTAGAAAGTGCCACCGAATTGGTTGGTGGATAACATATAGAGAAAACTTCATTCTAGTTGCTAGATTGGATTTTGCTCATATGAATATGTTAACTAACAATTTTCTTTAATTCTAACACTACAGTGATTGAATTTCCAGTTCTAGTTGGGTGCTAGCTAAGGATTTCACCATGTGCCTCCTATTTAGTTAATTAGCAGGGGTCTTTTCTGAGATACTAGTTTGTAACTGAGTTTCTTTCTGTTCCCTTAGCAAGTTAAATTTTGTCAGGATATAATTTTGTGCTCCAGAGAAATTCTCTGAATTGCTTCAGTACTGTATTATGCAGCTAAAATAGGGAAAACAATTGCTTTAGTCTGTAATACTTTGCTAAGCATGGCAAAACAATGTTAGACTTGGTTGAGATAATCAGGACTTTTTTTTTGTTCCTTTTTGGTCATTGAATTTTGCACTCAGTTTATCAGATACCACATAAAGTATATGCCTTTATGTTTGCCTGTGCAAAATAGAAAAGATAAGGAAAAGGTTAGAACAGAAGAAAATTCATCATAAGGAAGAGTGTTAAAATTTAATTTAACTTGCCCTGGCCGGTGTGGCTTGGTGGGTCGGGTGTCATCCCATGGACCAAAAGGTTGCCGGTTCAATTCCGATTCCTGTTCAGGGCACATGGCCAGGTTTTGGACTTGATCTCCCAGTGGCGGGGGATTCAGGAAGCAGTTGATGATGTTTTGCTCTTATATAAATGTTTCTCTCTCCCTCTCCCTCTCTGTCTAAAAATCAATTTTAAAAGTCTTAAAAAAAATAAGTAAATATTAAAATTTTTATTTAACTCTAATACTCTAATCTTCAGAATTTTAAGGAATTTATTACCTTAGGTGCATGCAGTATGTTAATTTCAGGCAAGAGATTTTTATAGTCCTCTATTTGGTGCTTCTATTGCCAAAGAGATCTTGGCTTTATTTGTAAAATTTCTTATTATTGGGATCAAAGAAGGAATCAAAGGATATATTATAAATAGGTCTGATTTAGTTTGAAACTTGATGACACTGTTATTTCAATGTAATACTGCCTGGATGCAATAGTCTAAGGCACTGCTTCTCAAACCATCATGGGCATATAAATTACCTGGGAATCTAATTAATTGGTAGGTATGGGGCAGTGCCTGATGTTATGCATTTCTAACAAGCTTGCAGGAGATGCCCAGGATGTTGGTCCTCAGGCCACACATTGAGTTACAAGAGCTTGAGATAACAAAAAGATCTTTGTTATAAAACAGTGTCACTTTAAATATGGCCAAATAGCATGGTTTTGAGAACTGTAAAACTTGGGCCTTCACTGTAATTGTTGCATGGAATAAAGACATTTTTAGCAAAAGAAACAAAAAGGTTTAATCTTTCATATTAATCAGTGTTTTGATCACTGGAATGGTAAAGAAATAAAATAGTCCCTCACCGGTGGTGTTTTATCATGTTATGTATGTTTATAGTACTTCTGGGTACTAATAATAATAAGCTTATTTCATTAATAATGATAAGGCAGGGATTTTGCTCTCATTCAGATTGGTGTGGAAAGAAAAGAAGGTCTAGGAATGTTTGTTACTGGAATCATTTGAGTTTTATATGCCTTTAATTGTTATCACATTTTAAAAAGGAAAGGTTACCAGATTGTTTTTGTGTGTTGGTAAAATATTACTATTTCCAATATATTTGAGCTATAAATCATGAGTATAATCAAATTTGCATCAGCAGTATTTGCATTTGATTTTATAAGTCCAGTTAGTTTTCTTTTTATATTTACATAGGTATTTAATATTTAAAAATCAGTCACCTTCAAGTTTGAGAGCTTCAGATTTGGGTACATGAGACAAATAAATTTATATTAATATTTTTTAGTTTGTGCTCTTTTGAAACATCAAAAGTTTAACTTAATTTTTTTGTAATTAAAAGTGGGTATTTATGGATCATACAGTGTTTATTATGTGTGAATAAAAATAATAGACTGTAATCTTAATATGATTTTAGCAAAAGAGAATTACATGTCAGCTTCCTCTAATGAATCCCAAAACAGTAAAAGTTTACTGTGAGGAATGTATTTCTAACTTCTGATTGGCGTCCCACACTTAACTGTTCATGTGATTGCTGTGGAATTCTCTAGAACAAGTTTTTATGCTTTAATCCCAGAGCTGGTTTTGTGATTGTTGTAAGATTTTTAAAAATTTGTTAATTAAAAATGTAAAAGTATGCCATACTCTGAAAGAAAACTAAATTCAACCAACTTACATATGTTACAGGGCAGGGTACTTTCTCACTCAGTTCATTTGCCAGCAGGCAGGAACAGCAAAGACAATTTCTTTTTATGTTTCTTTTCCTGTATGTGATAACATGTTTCTGTGTCTTCTGTGGTTCTTCATAACCTTTCCAACTGCTGGATAGTTCTAGTTGAGACAAAGGGCAAATTGTATTAGATTTGCGGGGGTAGGGGTAGAATGGCACTGGGGTTTATAGGAGAGGGAGGCTTTGGGAAGGGTGGCAGAGAGGAAGGGGAGTATTGGGAAACTTTGCACTACAGCTGTTGTTGGCTTCTTTCTTTGTCTACCCTACGCCACATTGGAAGTTAGACAGTGAAGTAGCAAAGTCTCCTGTGAAAGCTAAACAGAAGAGCAGAAGAATGGAGACTTGACATTTTAACAGCTCCTTTATTCTGCATGCCGAGAGAGCCTTTGGAAAATAACCACTAAACCCCTCAGAGTTTACTCAAATGGATCAGTGGGGGCATTTTTCAGTTTTCCTCACATATTTATTTTAGAAATAGAAACACCAAGCATTCATACCAGAAAATGTTCATCTCCCCAGTACACCTTAAAACTGGGGCATACACACATATATAGGAGTTCTAAGAAGGAAGGGATGGGGTTATAATGTGTACTCCTGATGTAAATATAGTATTTGCTTCAGGGGCTTCTTTCCCTTTTTCTTCTATCCTCTAGAATACTTTATTTCACTTGCTAATTTATGGTTCTACTTCTAGGAACTCAGGAGGCTTGGCTTGGCTCTGTTTTGCTCTTAGCCACTGCAAACTAAGATTGTGATTTCTATCAGTCTGCTTAATTACAAAAAATTCTATTGCAACCAAAATTTTTTGGATGCCACATAGTTTGTTATCAAAGGATTTGACCTGAAACTCCTTGTAGTAACAGTGAATTAAAAAGAGCAGCTCCTGCCTTTTTACCTCCCAGGAATATTTTGAGAAAACATGAGAAATGATTGGGATAGGTTTTTTGTGATAGCTATGGTATGAATTCAAGATTATTATTTTAGTAACCAAGATCGAATCCTGTCTTTGAGAGAGGTCTTTTCTGGGCCCTTTGTGCCTATGTATCTGAGAGGCAGATACATGGTGAGGCAGGTTAAGAGCTTGGTCTCTTGAGCCCTGCCCTGCCACTTAGCTGTGTGGCTTTGGACAGATAACTAAAAATGTGTGTGCTCAATCTCCTCATTTGTAGAGTAGAGATTTTTAATAGCACCTGTTCTAGTTGTTGTGAGGCTTAAGTGAGTTAATTTATATAAAGCATATAGAATGATTCCTGGAACATATTAACTGCCATATAATGAATGCTTAGCTGTTATTAATAGCATTTTTTGAAATGTTAATAAAATAAATTATATCAAGTAATTTATTAATATTGACTATACTTGGATTAAAAAGTTGTAGCTTTTTACTTTTGTTTTAGGTATATTAACTATTACCTTTTTCTCATTATTTTGTTTACATTTTTGAAGGTTTCCCAATGAGTGGATCATGATGACCGTATTGTAGGGACTTGCCATAGTATGGCTGCTTCCCGATCTACTCGTGTTACAAGATCAACAGTGGGGTTAAACGGCTTGGATGAATCTTTTTGTGGTAGAACTTTAAGGAATCGTAGCATTGCTCACCCTGAAGAAATCTCTTCTCATTCTCAAGTACGATCAAGATCACCAAAGAAGAGACCAGAGCCTGTGCAAATTCAGAAGGGAAATAATAGTGGGAGAACTACTGATTTAAAACAACAAAGTACTCGAGAATCATGGGTAAGCCCTAGGAAAAGAAGACTTTCTTCTTCAGAGAAAGATAATGTAGAAAGACAGGCTGTAGAAAATTGTGAGAAAAGGCAAACAGAACCTGTTTCACCAGTTTTAAAAAGAATTAAGCGTTGTCTTAGATCTGAAGCAGCAAACAGCTCAGAAGACGACTCACCTATAAAATCAGACAAGGAGTCAGTAGAACAGAGAAGTACAGTAGTGGACAATGATGCAGATTTTCAAGGGACTAAACGAGCTTGTCGATGTCTTATACTGGATGATTGTGAGAAAAGGGAAATTAAAAAGGTAAATGTCAGTGAGGAAGGGCCACTTAATTCTGCAGTAGTTGAAGAAATCACGGGCTATTTGGCTGTCAATGGTGTTGATGACAGTGATTCAGCTGGTATAAACTCTGATGACTGTCAGCCTGATGGGAACACTAAACAAAACAGCACTGGTTCCTACGAGTTGCAGGAAAAATCAGTAGCTGAAAATGGGGATTCGGACACCCACGCTTCAGTGTTCCTTGATAGTAGGAAGGAGGACAGTTATATAGACCATAGCGTGCCTTGCACGAACTCAGAAGTGCGGGTCAAGTTGGAGGACCACAAAACAGTAACTGCCTGCCTGCCTGTGGAACATGTTAGTCAGCTGACTACTGAGCCAGCTACAGGCCCATTTCCTGAAACTCAGTCATCTTTAAGGGATTCTGAGGAGGAAGTAGATGTGGTGGGAGATAGCAGTGCCTCAAGAGAGCAGTGTCATGAAAACACCAGTAACGCCCCGGACTCAAGACTTGAGAGTATGCCGGTCTCCGGAGAACTGGAACCATCCTCTGGTGTAGACTGTGTTTCAGCTCAAACAATGTCTTTATCAGAACCTCAAGAACATCGGTATACTCTGAGAACTTCACCACGAAGGGCACCCCCTACCAGAAGCAGTCCCACTAAAAACGGTTCTCCTTGCAGAGAAAATGGACAGTTTGAGGAGAATAATCTGAGTCCCAGTGAAACACATGCAACTGCGAGTGATAATATACGTGAGTCTCCCACAAATTCTGGTGAAATTTCTCGGAATGGAAAAGGGCTCTGCTGTGACTCTGAAACTTACGGGACTGAAGGACAAAGTAAGCCACCCTCAGAGGCGGGACTCGGTGTTGGGAACTTGCCGTCTGCCAAAGAGAGTGCCAATCCGCACATTACAGACGAGGAAGATGATGATCCCGATGTTTATTACTTTGAATCAGATCATGTGGCACTGAAACACAACAAAGAGTATGTGTAAATATGGTAACCATGAATTCTGCTTTGTTTATTATTCCCCAAGTTCTCAGTATTCATAAATGTCTATTCATAACATTTTTACTACAGCTAAAAATTAATGCTTTAGCTGAGGTTTTAAGTTTAACATAATTTTCTCAACTCATTAAAAAACACACAAACCTCCAAAAAAGGAAAGACTTTAAAATTCAATTTTTATTTTCTCAACGGCAATATGATTTTTTAGTTTTGGTATTTCAATATGTCTCAATAAGAAGAGATGTGGAAACTTGGTGTTTTTTGTTTTTTAGTAAGTTACATCATTTGATTTAATTTATAAAATGCCTTAGGTTATCGCAGTACACTTTGGTTTATAGTTTATAGTGCACTATGAAGTGTCTATCCTAGGTAGTGTAGAACAATTAAGGAGTGCTTAGATGTCATCCAGATGAGGGAAATCTGGTGGACTACAAATCTGCTTTGATCTTAATTATTTATAGCTAATTTCCAGTTACAACTTTTGATTTAAAAATGTGCTTTATGCATTGTTTCTTATTTTTGTGACTTAGAGAAGTATATATTACTGTTAATACTATGACAGCTAGTTGTATGTTATAATTAGCATATTAGCAAGAGTTAGTTTTCTCTTTGGTTGATATAAAGCATTTGAGACAGCTTTTTCCGGATCCTAAGTTATAAGGGGAGACTATATCTTAAAATAATATCAGTTCTTAACCTTTGTGATGAAGGTACTTTTTAAAATAAAGAATTCAGAGTCCAAATTTATCACAGTTTTGCTTAGAATAAAAGACAAATATATATGTTAATCATCTTTACTTTTACAGAGTAGGCTTTTGAATTAATATCACAATCAGATTATATAGGCTATGTAAAAATACTGATTTGGGGAACCTTTGTAATGTTTTTGCTGTGACAGTTGCCAGATCTTGGTATGTATCAGAACAAAGTATCAGATCCTGGTTGTGGACCATGATAATCTTTTGCCATGTGTTACAGATAATTCGTATATGTATATGATAATTTGGTGGCCTTTTAGCATAGGTCTTCTGAAAATTTTCTTCCTTTTTCTTTATAAGTAATATTTTAATACTGGGTTTAATAGAGACATCATTTTATCTGAGCATTTTATTATTTTGTGGAACTGTGTAGCATTTTCATATATTTGAAATATTTGAAGTACAATTTGAGATAGAAAAACAACTCATAATTTGAGTTTTTACCTTTAGTATTATGTATCAGTTTTTAAAATTTTATTATTGATATCAGAGAGAGGAAAGGAGAGGGAGAGAGAAACATCAATGATGAGAGAGAACCATTGATTGGCTGTCTCCTGCATGCCCCCTACTGGGGATGGAGCCTGAAATCTGGGCATGTGCCCTCACCGGGAATCGAACAGTGACTTCCTGGTTCATGGGTTGACGCTGAACCACTGAGCCACACTGGCCAAGGAGTTTTTAAAAGTAGAGTTGTTTATCTACAAGTGCAAAAAAGCAGAGCATATGTCTTGGGGAAATTCCAAAAGCTCAAGAAATGTGCATTTTTACAAAATGGTAGTCTGTTAATTTTCTTTTCTTTTTATTAGTTCTTTGGCAAAAGAGGTGTTCTTTTAAGGTGTAGCTGGTTATTGATGATGAAAAATATTTTCCCATGAATTCATTAATATTACCTATGTTCTCCCTGCATGATTCTGACAGATGATGTTCCTATCTAACAGTTGTTAAAGAATCATGTTCCATATTCCTAACCCTTGAGAATGAGAGCAATACAGTTTCAGGGTTTTTTAGGTTATACAAAGTCCTTTGAATTTCCATAGCAGTTGCTTTATTAGGGCAGTGTTCTCACATTAATGCCTCATTGGGTGACTTTGGGCAAAAGGAAATCACTCCTTGCTTTTTTGCCTGTTCCAAATCTTTTGAAATAGCACCTTTTAACACTTCACCTTCAACTTTTTTCCCCCCAAAAGGAAACAAATTATGAGAAGTGAGGTGGAGAGGGAGCATCTTAATTAACATTTTGGTTAGAGATAGTTTAAGTTACCTTGGAAGAGGGTGTTTGATCATGTCAGATGTAATCTGTTCCAGTAAAGTCCCTATTTCTTTGCTTTTTGTCTAGAGCCAAGAGATGGTTGGATATAATGCTGTCTCTTTTTAACCCAAATTGTCATTGTTAAAAATAGCATCATGATACCTGTCTAAGTGCTTTCAAGTCTCAAATTTCTGGCAGTTTAAAAATGTTAAAAGGCACTTGAGGTAAAGGAAAAAAACAAAAAAGACACTTGGGGTAGATGGATTACTATTCTCCTGTGCACACAGATGTACATACACCCAATCAAATATTTTTCTTCTTCTTTCTCCTCATACTGGAAAATTTCTCCAGATAATTGCCTTTTGAAACTAGGAAATGAGCATTGCTTAGCCTACACATGAGTTTCTCTACAACTAGGGAATGAGTATTTCCTAGTAGCCCGTTTAAAAAATACATGTATGCTATTAATAGAAAACAATGAGCATGGCATAGTTCTTTGTCTGGAGCCAGGAGGACATAGCTCTTCTTTATTCCAGTTGCAACACTCCTCTAAATTAACATTGATTATTTAATCAGCAACCTTCTATCCTAGCATTCAGCCTGAAATTTATTCATCTTGTGTGTAAGGACATCATGTATAGGGTCATCTAGTCACTTGTAAATGTTTGTAAAGATACTGTGTGTAGAGTCTTATCCTTAGACTCGATTTATAGTAATTAGGCCCATACACCAGTGAAATGAATCTGCAGATGTTCTGGGCCCTTATACCCTGTTTCCTCTCTTCTACAGGACATAAATCTACAGTGTACTTTTATATATTTATTTTTCCAAATGGAAAACTCCACTGTGAGCAGGGGACTAATGAGTATCTTTTTCTTTGGCACGATTCCAGCTGTGGATTGTTTTACCAGATGTGTTTTCTCAAAGATTAGGGGATAGGGAATCAAAATAAATATACTTTATCTCAAATGCTTTGATCTCAAGGTTGATGAAATCTGTCATAGTGGATAATACCTAGTGACTCCCTTCTGGACCTCAATAGCCAGACTGACTGAGATCATGTACTTAACTGTGGGTTGCCCTTTCTGTTTGGGAATTGACCTTCTGCTGATTTTTGAATCAGAGGAACTAAAACTGATCTCTAACTTTTGAAGTTCTGACTCTAGGGAGAGCGGATGTGGAAGAGTTTATAGGTCCTGGGTTTTAACATCCAGAGCTTTTCTTCCAATTCAGAAGGCGATCACTGGAAAATAAATTTTCAGATGAAAATGCGATTTGGTCTGTTGCTTCTGAATTCTCATTGTACAAGAATATTTAAAAAAATATATATTTAAAGGGCCTTGGAAAGCTGCATTTAATGATGATGTAACCTTTCATGAACCAGGTAGAGGGCGAAAAGTCAGCTTTAGGGTTTCTAGATTCTTGAGGTCTTACAAAAGATTAACTCATTGATAACATTGCTAATGTTTATACTGATTTTTAAATTTCTAGATAAGGAAAGTGTAAGAGTAAGATAGATAGTGGTCATCTGAGAATATTGCTCATGTAGTCTTTAGGTAAGAATCTTATTTTCAAGCCACATTAAAGAATATTTACAAGAAATGCAGTTTCAGATTTGATGCTGAAAATGTTAATGCTCTAGATAATTATGTCCTTCTGGTGAACTGTGCTTAAGATGAATCATTTGATACCTTCATCAGTTTCAGAAGTCTACAGAGAAAGTCCTCATCAGTTTTTTAGGTTTACTTCCTGTAAGACTACTTTTAATGTTTGCCAAAGTAGATTCAAGGAAAAGTAGATTCAAGAAAAGTCCAGGACTATGGATGGATTTTGCTTAGAAAGCACTAAAGGAGTCATCCTGAATAGAATAATTTTACATTTGTACAGGTGCTTTGTAATTTACAAAGCAGTTTCATCTAGTTTCATATTTGATACAACAGTTTGGAAGTAGAGAACATAGGTGCATTATATAGTTTCCATTTCCTAACTCATGATTAAGGTTTTTAGGTGGTTTGTTTAAAGAATCGTGGTAAATTGTTAGTAGAAGTGGGACTAGAGCTTCTGCCTTCTAATTCATAGTCTGAATTACACGTGGTTAACTCATCCAACAAGGACCTATTCCATGAACTTTTGGGTTTCTAGGTTGAGATCTCTCATGGAGCAGATCTTGGGTACTCAGTTTTCAAAATGCTTTAGCCCTACTTTAAACTCTGTAATTGTCATCATAATTATCTGATTTTGTCTGTCAGAGAAGCAGCATTATAGGTAAGTAACCCTGTCTATTTATTGAGTGAAATACTTTCATGTTCACTGTAAAGAACATTTTGTTATTATGTCTGTGAAGAATAATTAGTATGTACAAACTGGGGAATAAAAACTACAGCTATAGCTTGACTTTAAATAGAGGATTTGGCTAATTTCCAAAAAATACTTATGGGAGGAGTTTAGAATGCAGTTAGGTATATTAAAGTCAGGTTACTAGGGAAAACTCATGGCTTGGTGTACTTTTTCAACTCATTGGAAAAGGCTGTGGAATATAATAGCCAGATTGGCCCCAGTAGTTTGGCACAATTAGTGGCAGGAGGGCGATAACTGTCCTAAGTATACAATTTTTGGTTGTAAGTGGAATAAGCCATTGACTAATCAAGATATTCACTGAATTCTTTGTTTTTTCCTTTGAATACCAACATTTTAAATTTCAACTATCAGTGTTTTCTAAAAGTGATTCTCTGTTGTAATCCACATATATTTGTACTGAAGTATAATTTAACTTTTTCTTTTTGATTTAGGGTTATCTTTGCTGACAGGTTATATAGTGAGAATTTTCTTGCATCACTGCTAAAATAGGCCTGTTTTCACCTATGTTAAATGACTTGGGCGTCTCTGCTTTTTTAGCCTTATAATTGGGCTCTTTTTTATGTTATTTTGTAAGTTCCGTGGCTTCCTATAATTCTCTTTTTTTTTTTAGA